TGGCCTTTTATTGGCTTTATTGGATAGTGACAGCTGTAGATAGACAGGAAAGTTGGGCATAGAGAGAGGTGATGACACGCAGCAAAGGGCCGCAGGTCGGACCCGAACCCGGGCCGCTGCAGCATCTCTGTACATGGGTCGCCAGCTCTACCGACTGAGCTAACCGGGCACCCAGATTTGCATTTATTTACACAGTTTGATCTAATAATGCGTTTTTGTGGGCGAAAATAGTTATACAGTGGCATCAGATCCCCATACATGAAAGCTCTGGACTGATGCTCAGAATCAGATGTTTCTTCATGTGACCACCGGTATAAACAGCAGAGAAGAAGAGCACATACTGATTTAATATGTGTGCAACAAGTTATAAGAAACTGGAATCCACCAAAGCCTCTGACCTGGTGCAGTGACAGGTTACCCAAACTCTGTTCAACAAACAAGCTACAAGGATTCTTGTTTACTTTTGTTAGATTAGAAGTTAACTTTTTCATGTGATACAGGCCAAAGAAAATAAGCTGCAGCTGGGATTCCCACCCTCAGACACAACATTTCTGTTACACTTTATTTTCCTTACTGTTCTCAAGCCCTGCTGATGGTCAGTGTGCAGTTGACCTCATGTCAAGTTCCTGATTCACTGACCAACCACCTCTCTGTTCCCTCCAGTCTGCAGAAGTATGTCCGTGAGCAGATCCTCTTGGCCGTGGCGGTCATCGTGAAGAGGGGCTCTCTAGACAAAAGTATCAACTGCAAAAGCGTCTTTCACGAGGTCGGACAGCTCATCAGCAGCGGGAACCCCACAGTGGTGAGAAAGACATACAGATCTATCAATTTTAATCCACTAATGTTTCTTACAGTAAACAAATAATCAATCATTGTTCACATATAATCCATCGCAGTGCACCGATTTTAGAAATGCAATATTTTAACCATAGGACTTTCTGGTTTTTCACCCACATGCAAGACACATTAGATCATCCAAATATCCTCCACCATGTCAGACCCCAGCACATTTTTGTAGATCCCAAGGGAACTTAATGGTTTATGATTAACTTTATGGTTTAGAGAATTTACAGTTTCTTCTGTTTTAAATACACAAAGCCTGTCAGGATCCCATGTAGACAGATAGCTGATCATCAATTATTTGTGCAGGTCCCTACTAGCTATCAACAGAAATCATCTACTCATTTTGAGTGATGTTGGTGATAGGATATATCGCGAGACACTTATACTGCGATACAGATATTAAAATTAACAGCAGAGCTCCTTTGCTTGTTTGATGTCCTAGGTCACTCACATCAGTAGCTGTATCAAGGAGTGGCAGCTTGTTTTGTACAGTTTATACCTCAGAGAAGTATTTTCCAGTTTTCCAAAATGTGACAGAGGTTAATTAAAAGTTAATACAGTTTTTCCCTTTTTAAGCTTCCTACTTTATAAAAACCTGAAAACCTCGACTAACCCAAACAAACCACAGGTGCACATAGTCCATTAGTAGAATGTAAGTTTATATTCAAATAGGAGAACAGCAATGCAAATAATGAGGTTTGGCACAGTAAATTGTGTCTTACATACAAAACTAACTCTGGCAATATGTGTTCTTATCTCTTCTTTTTCAGTCCTGGTATTACCGTTACAGATAAACAGACTCAATAGTTTTCTAGAAATGTAGTTCCAGATGAACAGTAGAATTTGTTGTGTGTATTTCATTTAAAGCATGAGATGAAACTGGGTTAAAGCTTTGATCATATTTATTATATTTGTGACTTGATGGACCACATTTGTGCCCTGGTTGCAGACTTCCTGCATGGAGTCTGGCTCAGATTACAGAGAGCTCAGTGTGAAAATAAAAAATGGCACAAAGGCCCTACTGGGGAAAAAGCTCCAGGCGTGTTCCTGTGGTTAGAAGAAAGTATAATACTCAGTGTCCGTTTTCGTTGATCATACACTCAAATCAATTCTGTGTACAAATGTTGTCAAAGTGCATTTTTCGTTGTAAGATAATTTTGGTGCTGTTAACTGTTGGGGATGTTATGGAAAAAAGATGTAAAAACGACGTGATGTACTGTTTATGACTCAGCACACTAATGAAATATTGCTACATGAAGGCAAAACATTTGTCCCCTATTATTAAAAAATATATATACTGACATATCTCGATGCTGCTCTGTATTATAAAACAGACTGAAACTCTCTTAATCCAGTAGGTGGCACTATTTTATTGTTTCAGAGCCAGAATGTGCCAATGAGGGCTGAAAGTGCTGGTTTCAGTTTAATCAGACTACAGCAGTGATTTTACTGATAAGGATGCACAAAACCAGACAGAAAGTGATCATTGAAGTCACCTAGCTGTTAAAATTCATCACTGCCCCTGCCTGATGTTAAAAGTAAACAATTATTGGATTAATCGACCGATCTGTCAAAGCAGAAAATGCTAAACATACGCTGGTTCCAGCTTCACAAATGCTGCTTTTCACAGCTTTATATAATTATAGATTGAATATGTTTGTGTTTTGAACTGTCAGTCAAAACTGGTAGTTTAAGCATGTCATCTTTTAGCTGAAGAAAATCTTGCCAGTCTTTTTCTTTTAGTATTTTGTGCTATTTGAATTAATAATAATAATAATTAACACTAAAATATCCACTAGTTACACCCCTGAAGACACTCCTAATCTAACAGATTAGCTCTAATATATACTGTTCTCTGATGATTTTAATAAACTTTTACTCTTGATCCTTTTAGCACCATCTTTACTCTTGAATCAAGTTTTGTCTGGTTTTGTTTTGGATTTTATGATCAGTTGTCCCGTAAATACCCATGGTGTGTGTACCTTCTTACAGCTGATCATTTATCCAAGGGGAGTTTCTTTTCCAAATAGAGCACATCTGTGTCCACCAGAACTGAAAAAAAAAAAAAATAAATATATATATATATAATACTATAGTATATATATATATATATATATTATTATAGTAATAATATTATATAATATATATATATATATATATGATTTGTTCCAGTTTTCCACCACATACCAACAGCATCCAGTAGACTTTTGCAGTTAGTGTACCAAGAAAATGACTATTTTCAACAGGAAATGATGCAGTATGTGCACTGACAGAAGTCAATTTCACTGCGACTTTGGGATGTCACTACCAAGTAATATTCACAAAAGAGAAAGCAAAATGTTGTTCCAAAGATTTCATACTTAGTTTTGTTTTCTTAAATTTTCACTGAGCCGTCTCACCACTAACCACAACTTGTTATAATGTTTTGCAGCTGTGAGCCGCTGCTCCATTTCCTTTGTGCAGTACATTGTGGGGCTATATTGTACATCAACAACACACTCAAAATTAAACTTCAAACTTTTTAAAATATACTTAATGTTGTTGTTTTCCCAGTGTGACACACACATTGAAAACTTGCTTGGGATTAGTATGTATGTTGAATTGAGTCCCAGTCTGTGCACATGAAGTGCATTCTGGCTCCCTCTTTGGGTATTCACTGATGATCCTTGCTTAAGTTTGACCTCAGTAAAACTCTTGTTTGATTTGACCTGTGTGATCTCACAACCCTCTGTGCTGCAGCAAACACTGGCCTGCTCCATCCTGACCGCTCTGCTCAGTGAGTTCTCCAGCTCCAGTAAGACCAGCAGCATCGGCCTCAGCATGGAGTTTCACGGCAGCTGCAAGCGTCTGTTCCAGGTTCGTTCCCCACCTCCCCTCCTATTCTGTGTTTTCATGTGTTGTCGAGCAGTAAAGGTGTTTAAAGAGGGCTCATCCGAATTTCATTCCATTATTTTTCTCTGATCTAGACAGCTGCTTTTTTCTTTATGAATCACTTCTTATACCTAAATTCATCCATCTTTCTCTTCTTCTTCCATACCTCCCTGGCTTCCAGGAGGAGAGCCTGCGTCAGATCTTTATGTTGACCATGGAGGTACTGCAGGAGTTCAGCCGCCGAGAAAACCTAAACGCCCAGATGTCGTCTGTCTTCCAGCGCTACCTGGCTCTGGCCAACCAAGTCCTCAGCTGGAACTTCCTGCCACCCAATCATATCCTTTTTTTGTCAGAGGCTGATGGGGATTCTTACCCCTGAAAAGGTCCAGATAATAAATATTTCTAGATCCTGAAACATGATTGGATAAATTCTGCAGAAGTATGGGGAGGAAAAACAGGTCAGTCCCAGTTACCTACACATCTACACATTAAATGCAGTTATTGTCATGTTGGAATACTTGTTATTCTGAAAAACTTTTAATTTTAAAGAGTAATTACATATAGCTGGGCACAGAACAAAGTCTTTGTGTTTGTAGTTTGACTATTTTACCTACATCCATATACATATATACAACATATAGTCTAAATTACTTATTTGAAAGTTAATACAAGTGCACGCAAAGTTAACCAGAGCACAATGAAGAATTAGGTTGAAAGAAGATGGCCATGTTTGGGTTAGAAATGTAAACTGGTGGAATGTCCTATGGTATTTTGTGTATTGTATATGTGTTATGTATTTTCGTGGCTGAAGCTGTGTGTGTGTATATGTGTGTATGTGTGGCACTACAAATATGTGATACCAAGGAATGCATATCTGTCCATCAGTTTTGCTTTGTAGTTCATTCTCTTGTGCACACATCCATATTATCTTTGCAGTTGGCTGCATTGTTGAGCGAACTTAGGCTTTTGTCTCTGTGTGTGTGTGTGTGTGTGTGTGTGTGTGTGTGTTTTATGTGCACTCCCGGCCGGGCTCATTACGGCCTAAATCCCTACCAGCCTGGCATCCTCTCTGCCTGTCTGAGGGGATCTGGAGTGGCGCTTGCTGCCAGCCAGGGCCATGTATCACTTTCAAAGAGGTGTCTGTGAGTCCATCTCCGTATCATTCCAGCAGCCCACCACCCCCGCCTTGGCTTGTTGAGGCTCCCCTTGGTATGCCTGACACGCTCAGTTATGTGTGTGTTCTGAAAGATGCACTTTTAAGTCCTCTGTGTGAGTGTGTATTTGCTGTTACACAAATTTTTTATACAACATTTTTATATTGTTTTAGCATTGGGTGTGTGTATATGAAGCCACCAAAGCAATTACCTTACATGTAAGGGACCTTTTGAATTGAGGTTAAAGCAGGATTCTTTTGGCTTGAAAATGATTTCATTTGTTTTGGATAGAAACATTTTTGCATTAATGTGATAATATCCCTGGATTAAGATATCGCCCCAGGGAAATTTATACCTACAAAATGTACAAAATATACTATGCCACCAATTAAGAAATAAAAATGACATATTTACATCACATAATTGCACATAATTGCACATAATCTTTAGTGTTTTTGAAGAGAAAGGAAGGAAGAGGTTAGTATAAACTCTCACTAGTTCAACTTCCTCAAGTAATTTAACTAGAATTTTTGCACTTGCTCTTATTATACACCTATTACTGTACACTTCACATTTTCTTTTAGATGTTAAAGTGGTCATATTTATGGTCATGGTTAGGTAGCATAAAGGATTTTTAATTGTGGCTGTCTGCAGTCTGAAGATAGCCTTACAAAATCATTAAGTACATTGAAATGATTAAATGAAGGATAAATAAAATTAGTTTTCCCCAAGGTAGTAGTTAGCATGAAAATAGAGCTGTGGTTCTCTGGTTTCTTGATGTTGAGTTGTCACAAATGTTGAATGGACTGGCCATAGAAATAGCATATGAATTCTAAAATCAAGTGGCATTCTCCTTGAAATTCTGTGTGCATGCGAGTGTATGTGAAGCGTACAAGTGTCTGGGCTACTGTTGAAAAGGAGAACAGATTGATGAAGACCATTGGGAGGCCTGAATGAGTGTGGCTGCCTGTCTGCAAGTGTCACAACACGCCTGTGCCTGTGTGATGCACCGCAAACATACAGTATGCCAGCACGGGTATCAGGGGGCCTCTCCTTAATTGCATGGCTGACAGCCGCCGCCTTTAACACACAAATACACACACTCCTCAACCAGCTCAAAGAGCCTTTTTAAAAAGCCTCCCTCCCTTAGACGAACCGAGCGGCATGCGTGTCATCTGTCCTCGCCGCCGTCTGAACACCCGGCCCTTCAGCTCTGGTGTCATCTGGTAGAGGCACGCTCTCCGGGCGTCTGTACGACACCGTGTCACTCCACACCGGGCTTGACTCTGGCCAGGGTCGCGGTCAGGCCTCGAGGCTGCTGCGGCAGTCAGGTGCTGTAAATGGCTGTCGGAGCTGACAGACAGATAGATCACCCTCCGTCCCTGCTGCCTCCCTTCTGCTGGATCAGTCTACATATCTGGATCCTCTTTATGTTGTTTAGATGTATTTGGTATGTGAGGGAGTCTCTAAATTCATCTCTGTCAGTAGTGTTTCTATAAGAGCCAGTGGCGCCTTGTTCTTCAGCGATTTCCCATTTCGTTTTCTCCCATCTGTTTTTTTCTTCCTGAGAGGAATGTGCAGATTTCATGGTGTATCGGCTCACTAAAACTCAGGTTGTTTCAAATTGAAGCATGGCCTCCCCCTCCCCGTTGTCCATTCAGGCACTGTAATATCTCTCGCTTACTTGTAGTTATGTAGTTTGTCATTAGAAAGGAAGCGAGAGACCTCCGCTTTTGGATTTTTAGTTGATTATTAATTAAAGTATTAATAAAAGAGGCATTAACTTCTCTGAGCAACAATTACCGCCAGCAGCCTTGTAAGGAGATATTCTTATGCTGAAGAGACGACTGTCAGCCTAACACTTGATTCGGCCAGGGTCACTATTCTCATTAGCTGTTCAGAGGTCAATTTATAGGCATTTTGGCCCTCAGGTTAAGATTTGAAGTGTGTAAGCTGATGCTGGATGTTTGCCTTGGCCCTGACCTGTACGGAGACAACTACTGCTGTCTAAACACAGGTTGGAGGGTATAGGGTAACAGATGGACACACAGTTGCTGCATGTATTTTCTGAATTGTTTGAGATTCATTTTTCTGTGATCTATCTTTGACATTTTAGTGCATGAATTGCAGCATTGATTCAAACAGCACAGTGGCATAATTAATATTTTAGGATAAATCTAGTAGTGGAAGATTAAATGACAAGTGCTGTCTAAACAGATGGGGGCCAAACAGTAGAAGGAAATGGGGAAAGGAAAGGGAGGGTGTGGGTCACTGAGGAGGTATTTCTGGACTGTTATTTCACATGGCGAGGCTGTAGGGGAGACTTAAGGCGGGATATATCACTTAAACCCTACCACGCGCCTTAGCATAGCGCTGCGCTCTTCGCAGGGCCGCTGGCAAACACTCAGCCAGTCTCTCTGTGCAGCGGGACCATCCTCAGTCAGGATCAACCATAATGAATAGAGGATACAGGAGAAGCTCGCTAATCCACAACCATCAGGCACGAAGGTCGTTCAGGCCTGCATAATGTTCAGATTGCTGAGATTGTCTACTTTAAGTGGTCATGAAATTACTATGAAATAGATATGTGAAGCGTTTTGTGCACCGTCTACAAATTGCTGATGAAAGAAGAGTTGGGAATGTGAAATGTGAAGTCGGATTTGATTTTGTTGTAGAGGGGCTTAAACTGTATTGAGGGGGTGCAAAATGTAGCCCCCTTTATTAAAAATGACACACTTTGCATTAGTTAAATATTTGATAACACTGCCATGTGAAAATATTAAGAGTTAATGTTCACTGTGATGTGGATCTGCTTTTTTTCCTACTGCACTGAAATGAAAGGAAACTAAAAGGAAGGAAAAATATATGATTACATTCAAACTCTGTGTGTATTGTATTTTTAAAAAATCAATTATATAAAATATACAATCCAGTTAAGAAATTAAAACATACAAAACTATCAAGTGAAATATCTTAACATTTACTTGAGACATTGAGGATGAATTGAGCTCACTTTATCGTCTAACTTTCCATAAAACACCATCATCAAATCAATATTTTAATATTTGACCAAGAGCTGCATTACATTCCCATCAGCCTGCACTTCATGGTTTGTGCTAATTAGAAGAGGTTAGCATTTTAACACACTAAACTAAGATGGTTAACATGGTAAGCAATTATACCTGGTAAACATGCAGCATTGTCATTGTGTGCATGTTAGCATTTAGCTGGAAGTACCACTGTGCCTCAGTATAGCCTCACAGAGCTGCTAGCATGGCTGCAGACTCTCAGTCTTGATGTTGATGTGAGGTTTGTGACAAAATGACACATATCAAATCTGTGAAGGGCGCTGACTAAGTTGTCTGGAGATTTCAGTCGAGTTTAATTGATAGGTAGTCCGTTTTTGTTACCATGTGGTAGCAAAATGAACAAACCCAAATAATGACGAAACAGTTGGCGTTGACACATTTTGTTGTCTGGATTTGTGGTTCACATAATTCAGCCTCTTGTATATTCAGAAAGGGCTCAGCCCACATTTACTGTTGTGTAGTCATGTGGTTAGTTTATAACGCACACTGAATTACAGCCCATGAACAAAAGAATTATGTTTTTTATTGCAACTTTGTTCTCATACTTTGAAGTAGAGCGCATTGATGCACATTACCTGGGCTAAAGTTCACATATAAAACCATAAATACTGGACGGCCAGGTGTCCTTCACTGAAGGTATGGAGCTGAAAAAAGTTTACTTTGGTTACAATAAGTAGAATCAGGGCAGGAAATTAAAGTTGAACTGCTGGTTGTTTCTCTGGCAAAGTAACTGGTGGATCTGGTGGAAACCTACCAGCAGCAGTTTAATTGGTGTTTGAGTGACGGCTGGTGTTAATTAAGGTATTACAATGTGTGTTTATGTGTCTGTCTTGCTGCAAATGTGGCAACTGCATGTGAGAACCATGGGTGTGTGAATCTCTTCACTTGTGTTTGAAAGTCTTGTGGGCTGTGTGTTAGGTCAGTCGAATGTGTGTGTGTGTGTCTGTTTATCTGTCAGTCCGTCTTATCTTTCCAGTGGAAAATTGACGTGTCGCATTAGTTATTCTTGAGCCTGCTGGAAGGGTTGAGATAGTAGCAGGTGATGTCTTTTAAAAACCCACCAAACCACAGCCACATGTCCTAGTCACTCCGCGTACATTACTCATCCTGGAGGCATGTACATGACACACACACACACACACACACACACACACTCTCACATATGCAGTCCAACTTTTTCCTTTTTTTTTTTCTTTTTTTTAAAAAAAAGAGTGGGTAGCATGGTTGAAGCTGTAAATTCACTTGTCAGCTCAGCAAGTAGCTTTTCCTCAGTATTCAAGAGCTCCAACTTGAACTAAGTGAACACATAACAATCAGGAGAAGTAGTTTAAACTGTCATCTCAGTCCATGTGAGTTGTGTTTCATAACAGTACACACATTTTTTATGATCGCTACAGTGAGAACTGAAAGAAGGATTTCTTTGTTAATGACACCTACATGTCTTCAGTGTGTGTTCAATGCAGCAGTAAATAGTTCATGCTTTAGTCATTATCTTAGACTTCTGTGATAGTAGTATTTTGTTTTTATACATTTTTGGCGGTCTTGCTGCTTTTTCCGAACTCTCCTGTTAGCTGCTTTATGGACAAAAGTCATCTTGCAGTAAAGATGTCACACCTGACTTTATCACAATTGCTTGTTTGTTCCTTCTCAGTAGGCTGCTTCCAAGTCCTTAAATCTTTTATAGTCTGAAATCTAATTTTATTTGTGTTAGTAGATTAAGTTGGGAAGATGATTCTTGGTGTACTTCTGGGAAAATGGAACCGTTCATCCAAATTATCAGTTTAAAATATCTTGAAATCATAATAACTTTTATTTATATAGCCCAGTTACAGAGCGCTTTGTAAAAGAAAAATGGTGCTACAACAAAAACAGAACACATTTTAAACAAGATAATAAAATGACCTAACAGCAAGAAAAACACATGATAGAAAATACAAAAAGAGTAAACTGAAATGAAATTTCATAAACAAAACAAAAAGTAATTTTTTTTTAAAGTGAGTTTTTAAAAGTGACTTAAAAGACAATACAGAGTTTGAATGATGAAATTTGTGTTATATTCTGTTCTTATTTTGAAATATTCTTGAATTCATGCTGATTTAAACTACTATTTAATGCATTTTCATCATTTTGGTGTCACAACCTGTCACAACCTCCATTCTACATCTCTGTCCAGCTGTGTAAAATAGTAGTGCTAAAGTGGCAGTGTAGTTATCATTCCTGAGGTCTCTTGTGAGTTTTGTTTCAGTCATATGATCTTTAGGAGGGTTTGTACAACCTCTGTCACCGAGGTGGTCCCTCCCTGCCGACACAGCCTCTGTCTGCAGGCTACAGGACTTGGTCTGTACCACTTGTTGCAGGACCAAATATATCACTCCTCATTACTTCCATTGTGTCTGTCTCTGTCCTTTTTTATTTTATAAGATAATTTATCCTGTTTAATTTCATGAAAACGGCATCAAGACAGATATGAAAGTTGAAGGCCAAGAGTACTTTAAACAGTTAACTCCCGGCATAAAACAAATAAACATGAACTTATTGCAGCACCCTTCTTCCTTAGTCCGATCTCTTTCTCATTCCTTCTCGTTTCAGAAAGGTTCAGTTAGAGGTCTTCTGCTTGACCACAACTATTTTTAACAAGGCCTGAAAGCCAAGCATTGGACAGACACACACATACACACACAGACCCTTAGACAGGTGCCAACTTTTGTGCCGAAAAGTGTAGTGTGTTGTGGTGGGGTGTGTGCATGGGGAGTGACTGTGGGCTGGTGTCGGAGGAATGCGCGACCTCGCCGGCCTCTGCCGCTGTTTGGCTTTGATCAAACATTCCTCTAGAAGTTTCCTCCTCCTGCTGTCACAGAGCTGCAGGCCAGTGATATGGTTTTATGTGTGTTTTTATGTGTGTGATGTGTGTGTGTGTGTCTGTGTGTGATATGGAAGACACACAAAAAGTGGGTGTTATTTTTTATTAATATTTTATTTGCAGAGTATAAAATATTGAAACAAAACCTGTACAAATAGAACAAAAATGTTATTTTTAATACTATTATTGGTGGTGGTAGTAGTGTGTTCCATCCAATATCCTGGATAGGAGACAATAGTAAAAAGTAATCCATGCTGTATATTAAACCCTTAAAACTCCACTAATCCACCTGTGGTCAGTCATTACAAACTCTGCAGACTGTGCAGCCAAATATTGTTGAAACCCACAGAAGTTTATTTTACTTTTATTGGGGATTCCAGAAGTTTCCAAATGTACCAGATAAGTAAAATTTGGAGGAACCTACTATATATAAAATGATGAAAATGAGATCTAAAATCCATTTGATGTAAAGATGCAGCCGTTAAAAAACATGGGACCAATTGATTGATTAGTTGATTAGGCAGAAATTGAATCAGCCATTATCAGAGATTCATAATTTAAGCCTTTTTTTCCGCTGACTTATCAATTGACCCGCCCCTTTTCGGTCAGTGCTCCAATAACGCCTGAGCAACCTCGTTCAGAAAACGTTCCTTTCTTGTACTTAGTTTTACTATTTGCTAGGCTCTGTGTTGAAAAGACAGCCACATTTTGAAGATGGTTAAAGATAAAACGGCATACTACATATATAGTTATATCTTAAGTTAGCTAATGTTAGTATAATGCTGGCTAACTAATGATTAATGTAAATTTGCTAGTTAGCATTTCGCTAACATAAGCTAACTTAAGATGTGATTAAATATATGTTGCTTTTATCATATCTTAACCATCTTCAAAATTTGGTTCGATTTCCAACATTGACAAGCCCATCACGTAGCATTTTTAAGTACAGGAAAGGAGAAAGTGGACCGAGGTTCTGACTGAGACATAGCAAAAAGGGGCGGGGCTTAGGAAGGGTCAATTGTGATGATTTGTTGTTTTTCTTTGTAAACTGAATATATATGTATTTGGTTGTTGTTGGAGGTTTTTTGGCTGTTGGTCAAGACATCATCTTGGGCTGAAGAAAATGTCCTGAGCATTTGTTTTGTTGAGGCTTGAGAGAGAGAGATTTTAAGTTTTCAATGGTTGTTCTTTAGTGAGGAAAGAGTGAACAGAGATTGTATGTTTGTATTTCTCAAACACTAAGTCAGGAATAAACGAGACATTCCAGAGGACAAAAACAGCAAAAGAAATAACCTCATTTGTTGATCTTCTGGGTAAATGTATTTGCAATCAGTAGGCTGACAAATCCGCTGATTTGTTTCTGCATTGAAGCCCTCATCAGGAGAAAGTGGTGAAATCTTGATTTGTGTGTTTGTAAGATGCTTTGATTGAGAAAAGAGTGTGTGTGTTGTAAGGGTGAGGAGTGAGAAAAGCCTGCTGTGGGAGAGTGGAAGGAGTAGTAACAGGGATTGTTCTCAGTGAGCCAAGCAAAAAGCATGTTGTGGGTGTGTTTGGGAGACTTGAATAAGGACAGGAAGTGTTGTGGCTGAGTGGGGAGAAAGTGTGTGTGTGTTGTGGGTTTGTGAAAAAGCTTGTTGTGGGTGTAGAGAGTCTTAAATAAGAAGACTGTGTGTGTGTGTTGTGGGGACATGGAGAAAGAGACTCTGGGAGAAAGGGACTTTGGGAAAGCTATTAAGATGAAGACGTTTTTATAGTTTTTAGTACACAGTGTGATTGTGCTGTGGGTTTAGACAAAGTTTTAAATCCGGTGAAAGTGTTTTGTGTGGACTGGGACAGACAGAATAACCGAAAGACATTTTGAAATTAGTCACAAGGGAAAATAGGGTGTTGTAAAGTTTTAAGGGAAGAGTGTGTGTTATGGGGCAAAGAGAGACTCCTGCTTTGGTCTTGGAAAGCAGTCAGGAGGAGAGACAGTGATTGGCCGAGGAGGGAGAGGGTTGTGTTTCAGGGCAGCAAGGAGTCTCGAGGACGTCTTGCAGAGGAGTGGACAAAGAGGCAGAGCAACGCAGAGTCTCGATTGGCTGCAGCCGGAGTGTGTCTTGTGTGTTTAAGATCTTGAGGAAGCAGAGGAGAGTAATCTGAGTGTGCACAACGAGGGAGTGCTGGTAGGAAGGGAGGTGAAGAAGAGGACAAGAAGGGAAGTGGGTGTCAGGCGAGTCAAGATCGGAACAAGGCAGAGAGTAGGGGAAAAACATAGGAAGGAGGTGAGGGACAGTGGACAAGAGGGTGAGAAACAAGGCGAGTTTCTTTGTGTGAAAGCTGTGAAGAGCTGACGAGGGAGAAAGGGAAGGAAGGGAGGACAAGAAAACAAAGCAACCACAGAGGGGAGGGTGAGGAAAATCAAAAAATCCTTTTGTGGAATAAAGATTAACAGGGTTAATGAGAGGGAGAGTGAGCTAACAAGTGACTGACAAGTTTCTTCTGCCAGGCACACGAAATCAAAGAGTCACACACAGAGACCAAAATACCCATTGAGAGGGAGCCTAGTGACAGGAGCTGGTGTTTTTCAGTGTGCCCTCCTCTTCCTCCTCCTCCTCCTCTTCATGCTGTTGTTGGCCTTAACTGTCGGCGGGTCACTGGGGCGCCACTACATCGCCATGTTCGAGGCCACACAGAACGTCACGCTGAAGCCTACGGAGTCCTGGAGGGAAGCACTGCTGGACACCCGCGTCATGGACCTCTTCTTCACCGTGAGTATCCTCTTCATCACTGATGTGTTTATCCTTCTATGAGTATCTGCAGGTTCTGAAAAGCTTTTAAAACATTATAACACCTGTTGAAGTGTTTAATTTTAAAGCCATCCGATACTGTCGCACATTTTTTGAAGTCTGTCTTTGCGCCGGTCACAGCAGGTTAAAGTTTTTTTTGAACAATTTCTTTTTAAAGTGTTACGAAAAAGGACTGACATTAAATGATCTTGAATCTTGCAGATGCCTCGCTCTCTGATGTACACTTTGGCACTTAATCTGCATCTATCTGTATGTCCTTCCTTTCTCCATCCATCCATATCTTTCTGTCCGGGAGCTCGCTGTGAGGTTTTTGATCCAAAGTTAAGGTCTTTCTGTCTCATACATTTCCATTAGAGTTTTCTTGTGTCCTGCTTTACCCTTTCTTCTTATTTGGTTTTTTCCTGACCTCTAGATGGTGGTTTATTTATGATAAACAAAGAGACAGTCTTCCTTTTCATGCTGGGCAAAGAAATTTCATTTGACCTCGTCTTTTTGGCTCATTTTGAGTTTTTACTCGTTTTGTGGGTTTTTGGGACGCACCATTAAGTAGATTTATGGGTGCTTTGCAGTGGGGTCGTGTTATTGTATTACTGTCCAGAGGACCGCCCGGTGAAGTAAATGTGTATTTTTGTGCAGTGACTTGTGTGTTTAAAGAGGCGGCCCACGCTGGCTAAGCAAACGGTGTGGAAGAGAAGTGTGGAACAAACCGGTCAGCTCCTATTCCATTCAGCATCCATCCAAACTCTTGTTGCCCACCGCCAGATACTGCTCCAGTACTCCAATACCTTTCAGCTGCCTACTGCCACTCCTTTAGCCTTTACCTGCCACTGCCTGTTTCACTACACCCTGTTACAGACCCACTACACTAACCCTGTCTGTGAATTACTGAACTGAATGTGGCCTTATTCTACCAACCGCCTGCACATTGCCAAATACTGGTCTACTCATGAGCTCCACCGCCTACCTGAGCAGTGCGTGTGCGTCATGGAACATCTTAACTTTAATTTCAGCGCTCATGTTAACACGTTAGAGCAGACAAACAGCCTGTGTGAGAAGTGCGGCTAATACACATATCCAGTGGGGCATCATCTAGACTGCAATGTTCTCAGCAAAAAATTCAGACCAGCAACCTTTCACACCTTTCACAGTTTCAGTGTCTATACCTGTAGAAGATGACAGAAAATATTTTTTGACCTTTGTGCTTCCACAAGCAAAACACAAGGCGCAGAACACATAATACAAACATCTCAGTGGCCAGCTCGCTATTGGCCCTAGTCAGAACATAAGAGACAACAAACCAGTTTCTGACACTATTTGTTTGAAGTCGTGTTGATGATTCAGGGCTCTTGCCTGCTACCAAATAATGCTCCACTGCTGCTATACTGTAGCACATATTTTCATTGCCAAATACTGTTTCGATACTGGACCATTTCATCTAGAAGTAGTGGTAAATAATGGGGTTCTAGTTTTTGCTGTAATTCTGTTTTTACAGAGGGTAGCTCTGATTTTTGTTTCTATTGTTGCTTTTGAAAAAGTACTTTGGAAAACCTTTCAGTCAGTTAATCTTTAAGTATATTAGTGCTTTGTAATACGTTTTATTGTATTATTTCTGTTTGCATTATACAGAGACAAAAGAGGGCAGCTTTTGATATGGCAGCAGGTTTGAACAATAATCACAATATTAAGTTATAATAAATTGTCTGCAAATTAAGATGGAGAGCCAAAACTTATATTTAAATAGAATGTCATTTACCTTTGTTGTTGTGCAGTTCAGTGAGATGAACATAATTTGATTCAACATGTGATTTTCAAGCCTATTGTGATAACAAAGCAAACGTGCAGTAAAATGCATAAACATGTAATCAGGACCAAATCTGAAAGAGTTTCTATTGTGATTAAATACTATTTTGAAAAGTAAAAAAATAAGTTTTTGGCACTCAGCTTAGCACTTGAGAAAAAGTAATTTATTTTCCATCACTGTGGCTGATAATCACCATTCACTGAAAACCCTTTTGCTTGCACCTGAAAAAGTTTTCAGTCTGATTATTATGACTTAATTCACAAAGCAATCACAAAAAACTGTAATTAGCTCTAAACAGCGAATGTAATGAGAGGTTTGTTAAAGCACTGTAGCCTAATCAAGGATTTGTTTGGCCAGTCTCAGAAGTTTGACATGAATAAAAATGTTTGTCATTTTTCAGTCGGTTCTCTTTGCTGCTGGAATCTGCAGGATGTGTTTTGTGTTGGTTTCAGTTTCCAGGCCTCCAGTCTCATCTCTCACTGTGGTATTTCTAGTAGCTCAACTGTTTGTTATTGTAAGGCTGCTGTGGCACTGTCAGCTGTCTGTGTGTATGTGTGTCTGTGTGTGTGTTACAGCATCCTCTTGGTTGTGTTGTGTGCATTTATATGTGTGTTGGCGCATATCTGTCTCTGTGGGATTGTGTCAATTTGAGTTTGAAGTGTATGTTTGTGTGTATGCTCTGCATGGGTCTATGCTTCCATGTAGTGTGCGTTTGTGTGGGTGTGGGTGGTGTGTGTTTTATTTCTCCTATATTAGGGTACTCTGCATGTCTCACGCTGCTGTGTCCTCTCAAGCTTGTGAGTGTAACAGGCTGCCAGGGTAAGTGGTGTGTCTGTGTGTGTGTGTGTGGGGGGTGGGGTGGACTCAGAGAAACACGGCGCCCATCAGGGTCACCTGTCCACAAAACAGACGGTGCAGATTAGAGACGGGCCCCAGGGATTAGGGGCCCCTGTTCAACAACCACAGTAACCACCCATCCACAACACACACCACCACCCACAACCACATATTCGTCACCCTGTTGAGGAGCTCTGGGGAGTCTCTGTCCCTCTTTGGGTGGGTGTCTGTCAGTCTCCCATTAACTGGCTCCAGAGCTCCCTCAGTGATCAGTGTTGTGAGCTACCAGGAGGTTGCTGTCAGTTTGGTTGGTGATCAGAGACTCTTATCACACATATTCATGCTTGTTTCATTTTTGTTTGTTTATTTTTCCTCCTGGTAAAAAAATCCCCAAAAAAATTCAGGTTTATTACAATTGGGGTCACTGGAAAGTCAGACAGGCAAGAAACACCAGCAGTCAGATGATCAGATAGGATCAAACCTACTTTGAAACAAAAGAAGGCAAACTTAAATGTTTGTGCAATGAGGAATTGGGGATATTTCACATATTTCAGTTGTTTTGGCTCTTTTGTGACCTCCAGCCAACTTATTTAGATAATCTGATCAAACAGTTGTCTTGTTTACTATCCTGTCATATCTTCTGACAGCTTGTGTTTCTTGTTCTGCCACTGATGTAGAGATTCTTTTTATCGTTATGTTTTGGCATTTAATGCCTTTTAGATAGCCGAGAGTGAGAGATGACAGGAAAGTCAGGGGAGAGATACCGGGGACATTGTGGTTCCCACTAGGGCCCCTTCTGTTGTAGCAATGTTGCCATGTTCCCAGATAATAGCAGTTACGCAGATGAGATGACTGTATCATAGACTAAATTGAAATGATGGCCAAATAAAAAAAGCTGCAGGCATTAGAGGAAGTAGTAAAGTCAGTGGTCCTGTAACCGTCAATGTGTTTTGGTTTTCAATCAATTGATGTCATAAGGATGCCTCAGGCCAGTCTGCAAGTGCATTGACAATAATCACAATGCAACAACAAATCAATGAGATAACACTGGAGCCAGATCGTTGTTGATGGCTATTGGTCAGCTCAATAATTATGCCCTGTGTAGCAGCCATTTTGCTTTGAAAAATGTCATTCTGCCCCCCAAAGTTTTTTGAGGAAAACATTTGTCTCTTTTCTACTTCAGCTGGTGACAGCTACTGCTCTGAGATTCAGGAATTGATTGAAGATGGACTGATAGATAAGGGGAGGACGAAAAATTAGAAAAGAATGAAACATCGTTGAGAGAATAAGAAAAGAACAAGGGCAATATAAGAAAAAGCAAGAAGAGTATGAAACAAGAGGTGCTGAAATAGAAGGGGTTAGAAAAAAGAAATGGATCAGAGAAATACAATTTAGAGTGAAAGCGAAAAGTGGATGCAATTTGCAGAAGAGAGAGAGGTTTGTAGATAAATGGGCCATGGTAGATAGAAAATGGAAGAAGACCCTGGTGATTGTTTGCCTCCTTCAAAATAAACCCACTCCACTTTTGTCGATTTAACACCTTGTGACCGTGCACACCCCCATTCCAACCGGAAAAAGAAAAAGAGTGCACAGAAAAAGCCCACATGACTGAAGCATGTGTAATTTTAGATTCATCAGTGTGTTTTTGTCTCTTTGTGTTTCTCTGAGTTTTTAGTTTCTGTTTCTAAAACTTTTGGTAGCATCGGGTTTATTTAATTACGAAAAAAAATGGACCCGTGCTGTAAGTAAGCAGTGAGCACTGCAGTAACGCTGCAAACACATCCCACTATACTGCACATGCTTTCATTTACACACTTTATACTTCTGAGTGAGCAGGTGAGTGTGTATTACTGTTATGTAAAAATTACAAAAATACGCACACACACTGCTGACACACATCTTCAGACTTGCTCACATAAACAGACACAATAGTACACAATTTGTACTTGTAAAGAACCTCATTGGTAAATACATTCCCTAACCTGCACGATCTCAACTACACGCCAAAGCTGAATTCATAGTTGTGTGTGGTGGGGTTGCGCTGTAGCTACAGTACGGAGCTTATGCATGTACACAACTACTACAACTTAAGGCTTCCGTGATGCCACATGGAGACCAAAAGAACTGTGACTCGTCAGTTTCTTCTACAAGTTTTTGATAGGTAGAGATTGTTAGGTAGAGATTGTTGAAAGTGAAGACAGGATTAAACAGTTTTCTTTTTAGTAACATACAAACCTTCTGCTCGCTTCAGTCGCAACTCTTTGTCTGCATCAGCCAATGCCTGCAATCACAAGGTTTATCACAGATAAACAAAAAATGTCTG